AATGTACAGATTCGGCTTAGTTACAATTTTATTATATGTATAGATAGACTTACATCAACGTATCTTAGCCACAACAGTAAATTAGCAATAAACATGAAATAATTGCGCTTTATTCATAATTGTTCATTGCAGTCAGAAAGTCAGCCAAATGAAATTTTAAAATATCGAATTTCTCTTAATTAAAATCTGAAACATAATTCGTATGAAATATGAAATACTTATAAAGCCGTAATAACTATAATTAGCTACCGGCAGTTAAACTTCGCTCGAATAGCTTTATGTTTCACGCATCAGATTTTCAACATCCAGTGTAGCGACATAGTCAGATTCAAATGAAATTCTTTTTTCATTCGATGCATCAGTAACGTGTGTTGCAGTTTAAAAATTTGAGTATTTTTTTACAAAATTGTGGGTTTTTCCGGGCCAAGGCGCTCGAAAGGAACCGATGACTTGGAAAGCATTGGTCTTCTCGCTCGATTTACACTGCAAATTGATTTTTATAACGATACGCTTCTTGATGTTTCTAAGAATTTTGTTTGTCACTGGGACTTGTTGATAAATTATATTTTATATTATAGTTTATTACTACATACATATATATATATATATATATATATATATATATATATATATATATATATATATATATATATGCTATATGGTCAGTGGAAATAGAGTGTATAGTGTAAATATGAATATATAGGTTTTCGATACTACCATATGGTGGTAAATAACAAGCCGTATTCATAGCCGCCATATGTTATACTTTTTATGTATATCTACGTACTATTTTATACATACAGTTCGCAGATTTTATGACAGCATATTTTTTCGCAGCGGCTTTATATTTTGGAATAAAAATTGTTGAAACTATTTTGTTATCTTTTTTCTAAGAGCGAATTCGTATTTTGTTTCATAAAAAAGATTTTTCTGTTAAATTCACTAATGACCATTTAATGACAAATCAGACTATGTCATTCACATGTCAAAAGATTTATTTACATCATTTTTAATTTCTGAATATTTTATAAAAAAATCTATACATATAATAAATTGTAACTAAGCCGAATCTGCACATTAGATATTTTTTGGAAAATCTTATAGAAATAGACATTATTATCGATACAGAGGCCGAATCTATAGTTTTTAGAATTTTTGTCCGTCTGTCTGTCTGTTACCGCATCACAGAAAAACCACTGGAGGGATTTTGATGAAATTTAGTATGGTGTTAGCTGGTTATCCGGTTCAACATATAGGATACTTTTACCGCGGGAAAATATTTCGTTTTTGAGAAAAAATACAAAAATTGCAATGTAATACATACTGATACTGATATGTGTACACTAATACCTATGTAAAACCTAAGAATTTGGTTTTTGGTCATTTGAACGCGGGCGGAGCCGTGAGCAATGCTAATATACTATATGTTTTTACTTTTTGAATTAAAAATACTGTCATGGTATAGTGTTGGTTAAGAAAATTAAATAATGAACCATTATTACCAGACATAATAAAATTGTAATGGATTATAATAATTGTAAATTGATTATTTTATATATTTAGTTATTTTTTTTAATTATAAGATACACCTTCTTCAAAATTACTTCAAAAGTAATTATTCTACCTTCAGGAGTGGATTTCATCTTAAATTTTATATGGGACTGATCCCTGAAGCACATCATCTTTTAAAAAATATGAAAATATAAAAAATATGAATTTGGTCCTTGCCATTTTTAAGGCATAATAAGGCTAAATAAAATATTATGTTTTTAGATTACATATACGCGGCGGTGGCTCCTGTCTAGTCTATTTCCGCTTGGAGTAAATACACATGTAATCTGTGTTTGTAAAGTGTTTACTCAGAGAAGTAAATTGTTACTATGATCGAAAGAGCAGTAAGCTAAAATAGAAAGATAACAGTAATAACTATGAAGTTTGCAATGAGTTATCCAGAATCTATATATATATATATTGTAATATATATATTGTAGCAATGACAAAACTACTTTTAATCCCTCCACGACCGCGGACACGCCGGCGTTACAGTTAACAATAGATTGCTTAGAAATTTAAGTAATTTCTTAGAAATTTACCTGGAAGTGTTAATTTATTGTTGCGGCTATAGGATATCACTGCGACCATTCTTGATCTATTATGATCAATAAAACAAAACTAAATTCTCAAATATGACTTAAGTAGGTAAAATACATACATAATATACATTAAAATTCTTTCACATAAACATCAATCACTAAATATTCATAGTAACTAGTAAATATATTCAGAATTGCAATTGAAACGGTCCTTGTGAAGGGTGAGTCGATGTCAGGCTTCCTGAAAGCGTAATTCCAGTTCTTTTGAGCTTACCTTGCTCCCTTTATGCGGGACCCTTAGCATTTAAATATGTGGCACTTTGCGACGCTTGCTGTGATCAACGTGTGAAAAGATTAAGGCCTCTATGCTATTACTCAAAAGATTCTTTGGATAACTATATTTCTATGGACATATCAATGTATCTAACAAGCTATAGCCTAAATCAAAATGAATAATAATTGTTGCTAAGCTTTTTAAAATTGTACATAACCATTTAATGGATAAATTACTAATATTATATGTACATGTGAATGTGTAAAACAAGGTTTGATACTTTAAGGAATAATAATATTTATTTCACAAAGCTACTCCCGTCTTGGGTTCCTATGTCGTTAGTTTAACATAATTATTGTATTATTATCATTTGCATAATACATGTATTGAGGTGTTAGAGTAATACCGGTCCCCATCAATCCTCAACATAAAATTAATCCAGTAATACCTTGTTTACAATTGCACTATCTGAATAGGCAGTAATATTTATTTTAATGCGACTTTATCATTTAGAAATGTACGATATTTATTTTTAACGATACCTACTGCTATTGCTGGAATTAAGGAAAAATATTATTATTACTTATAACAAAAACACTTCACCTATACGTTTAACTGTGGCTCTCAACAAACTCTGTCACCAATAAACTTGACACGACTTAATAACAGTATAGAAACTTCGTCGTATATACAACCTACTTTTAGTTTGCCGAGACTTGTGATGGTTCAAGTTGCACGCTAAAATAATACTATATTGGGTATATTATTAATTTTCTTATTTGTACGTAATAAGTGAATTTAATTAAGTTGGCTGCACACTAACTAAGGAGTTTGTCTTGTATCTCAACTTATTTGTTTAAATGATTGTTGATATGGTGTATTAAACACTTTTTATTCATACTGCGTAATAATAATAGCTTTTCCTCGGAGATATTCTAAATACATATATGATTATTAAATATGAAAAGTTAGAATAATAATTTAATTAGTAATTTTTTTAATTTTTTTTTATCAAAAGATATATATTGATAATGTTCAATTTTTATAGTAGTTTAGCCCTCTTCAATGTTATCTTTACAGCGTTTTTAACCTATCATTAAGTGGCGATGTGTCTTCTAAGCTTCATCTCATCTTTTTAGTGTAGGTTATTTTTGATATCGGTAAATAAAGTATTTTCGCGCTGCAATGAATCACAGGTAAATACCTGTGTTGTGTGCTAGTGTAATATATACTTACATTATTAAAAAAAAAACTTTAGAGTGGAGTTATTTTTCTTAAATTCCTAAGCTCCTGTATTTGTTATTTTCTGTATGAAGTATAAATTAAGCGTTCTATACACATATATAAGTTTTGAACATTAACACGTAGATAAGTATGATACGGAAATGCGTGATAAATAAATCATGGAGTATTGTGGGGGGCCAATAGACATTGATTCCTATTGCCGTCCTTTATCACTCTCAAATCGACTCCTGCAATTACGCAACCTCAATTAATTTATAACTTTATATATACTTTACTTTTTGGACTTTCAAAATGATAGATAGGAAATAAAACCAGCTTCAATTATTATAAAAATTGTGATATATTCTTTCTTAAACTATCAATATTTAACTGTACAAAATACATGATGTTTCTAATTTACACAGTAATATATATTTAACAAAATAATAATAACATCTAAAATATTACTCAATGGCAGGTGATGATCGGTCGTTTGTTAACGCCTTTCTTAGTTTCACTGTTGCGAATTGCTGCGGCCTGGATGAGAAAAACATATAAATTTTTGGCACTTTCTGTTATATAGTATTGATGTGAAAATCTCGATAGTCGGACTTGCAAAATTAAAAATATTTAATTCAAACTTAATTAATTGCACCTTTTAATAGCACATCTAGGTATGCAGTTGTATTTGTTTGATTTGAACAAACTAAACAAAATGTTGCGTTTTATATAATTTTATATAATATTAACAATAACTATTTTGTGCTATATGAATAATATCTTTTATAAGATATCTAAGTTATTTTTATAAAGGTACCTTTTAATCAGAATGTACAAAATTAATTTATATGAAAGGCACGTACATTCGATAACAATGCGGTAGTGATGATATTAACACGTATTTTTGGTTGTCTCATAATATTTAAAGTGACAATCGTTTGGTAAGATATCTAAGTAAGATATATTTACTATAGTCATGAACTCTATTGACATTAGGTGGCATAATTTTAAATTAATTACGTGCCTCTATTTTGAAGTTAAATATGAATACCGATATAAAAATAACAATTTTGTGATTGTGTTGCTTTACTATTTTCTGTTAATACACTTTTTACCCTAACCGTTAACTATGTTATTTATGTAATATAACATTAACAACAACAAATATACAAAATAATATCTTATGTTAAGTGAATTTTATAAACAGATATATCATTAATTTATAATCTTTAATTCGGAAAATTAAAGTTAATAATAATCAAAGTTAATAAAGTAATTGTTTACAACATATTAATATAATATAATATCTACTTAAAAAAATAAAAATAAAACAAAGACTAAACAACTGGTATTGTGGATACAAACTACAATCACTAGAAAAAACTTACTACGAACCAAACCTGTAACTATTTATACATAGCCGTTTCTCGACCCCACAAATCGTACCAGGGTCCGAATGTGTGTCCTTCTTCAGGCAATTCGTTGCCATCGGTTGCACGTTTGAGTAACTTTGTACGTGGTAACAATTGTGGCCGCTGCTGTTTGAGAGCTTCGTTAAACTTCTGATCATCAGATTCACTGTATGGTGCTTCATTTCTTCTATCCGTAAATCGCCTCGCTTCTAATCGAGCTTCTTCTTGTCGTAATTTTGACTTTTCAGCTTTTTTAGAATCCGTTTCATAATCGTATCGCGAAGCTCTTCTCTCTTGATCGCTGAAATATGATATATTGGATTCATAGTATCTCTCTTCCCGCCTTCCGTTATATTGTAACGTGCTATCATCGTAACTTCTATTAATACGGTTTTTCGTTCTATTTTCGCGATTCTTTGTATCTACAAATTCTTTTCTTGTTTGACGTCTGTCTAGAGAATAATCTATTCTTGGCTCAGCTGTTTCATAAGATCTTGGATCTTTCTTTTGACTTCTAACTTCAGCTTGAGGATATTCTTTATGATTGCCATTTTCAAGATTATGTTTTCGTTTCTCTTCAGTGGGTCGTTTTTTGTATTTTAGAGTACTATCGTCATGTTCATTGTATATTTCTTCGTCACGTATTTCATTATTATTTCTTTCTATGGGAACACCATATCGATCAATTTGTTGGTCACTGTCTTTATATTTTAAAGTCTCAGAAGATGCTGAAAATGTTTTAATTTCTTTTGAAGTATCTTTAAATGTTTTGAATTCCATTACTTTTGGCGAAGACCGCTCGTGGGACGCTTTTTTAGACTTATCTGATGATAACGTTGCTCGTACATGAGGTTTAATGGGTGTGACTTCAATTTCTTCAAATTCTGGCATGTATGCATTTTCTTTATTATTCTTGATATCATTATCTAACAACTGAGCTTGGCGACGGCGATCTATTTCTTGCTGTTTTTTGGACGTCATATGGTCATCAACAATAATACAGTCATATGGATCCGTACTAGATGCTACAGAGTTATTATCAGAATTGCTATCATTATCATATCTTTGTAGTATTTCTCGACGTTTAACAGTTTTCATTACGTAACCATCCCCATTTTCATCATTATAGAAACTATTTTCAAAGTTAGTTTTGATTGTACTGGTATTGGTTAAATCAGAGTGACGAGATTCATTTCGAGGAGTAAAATCATCATGTTTTTCCTCCACTATTGATTTTTCGGAAAAGCTTTTCTTATTCATTTGATTTTGATGGTAGTTCATGTTATTTTTTCTGTCTTTCTCAGCACGTTCTTCATGTTGTATAGAGCCTAAGCTTCTAGCTTGCCGCATGCCATTATTGACTTTGATATCTTTTCTATCGATTGTTTCTTGAGGTCGAGCAGAATTATCAGTTAGTGCTGTAGCAGGTTTTTCAGAAGTATTTTGCTTTTTGGGTTCAGGTATATCAGGAGCGGGTCTTAACTCTTTCTTCAATTTCACAAATAACTTTTTCTTATACTCTGGAACTGTATCAACAATGTCTCGATGTTGCCATAGAGACATTCCTTCCATTATTTCCTCAGATGTTGTACGTCCAAATTTCCAGAATGATTTAGTTCGTTTAATCTTTTGAGAATCCTTATCCATATCTAACATGTTACGTAATAGTAACTGTTGATCATCCGTTAGGTAACCGTTATTAGTACTGGGTCGTGGTCCTCTCTTCAAACTTTGAGTTTTCAATAAATATGCTTTGTTGTCGAGGTTTTGCTGAGCGGATTTACTACAAAGATAATTAGCAAATTAAAATAAAATAAATTATAGCAGTACACTAAAGGACTATAAGCAGAATAAAAAATAGCAAACTACAAAATATTTAGGAATATGACTAATAAATACCTAATTGGAATACGATGTCTTTGTGCTTCTTCATCGCTGTAATCAACATCTGGTTGAGGAGGAGGCTCATTTGAAAAGCCTGAATCATTAGAACTGTGCAAAGAAACATTACCAACTGCACCCACTGCTGACACGACAGTCTTGGCTGGAGCTGATTTTTGGGCCACCTGTAATAATAAATATATAAAATGTTTTATTATATAAAAAAAATAATAAATGGTATTTCGTTTGCTTTACCATGAATATGAAAATATTGTGCATGACTTAAAGAAATATCGAGAAGAAGGTAAATGATTATACTTATGATAAATAAAGAAAAATATTTTATTTAATACTAATAATACTGGTATGCAAATATTCTTCAGTATATCGATACCATTAAAAGCTAGTAAAAGATTTTATTGTGTTAAGTATGTATGCATAATTTTATCTTATTTGTGTTAAAAATAAAATTATACCTGTGACCGCATCGGAAGTGTTTGGGGTCCAAATGTTCTTGTTTCTATGACAGCATGAGTGGTGAAATTAGCAGCTGATGTGGAGTTCTTAATGGGGCCAGAAGTTGCGGGAATTGGTGTTGGATGGAAGTTAGCACTGGCAGAAGTGCTTAAAGCACTTGGTGATGGAGCTGGTAGGGTTGGTGGTAGACCAGGAGAGCTACTTGCGAGACGACCCTGATAATAAATTAAGTTTTAATATATATTGTGATTTGAATAATTTAGTTGAACTGCGACTTTAATACACACTTTTTAATACAATAAATGAAATGATTTAGGGAGATGTATAAAAATACTTATGTTTTTATAATAGAAAGTATTTAGTAATTTTTGAATATGTACCTTAGTTACGTGGTGGGCAGTGACCGTGTCTCCAAACATACGCGTTGGAGGATGTGAATGCGCGTGTGGCGTATTTGTGTTAGATGACACTTGTGTGTGCGCAATAGGTGCTGGTGGCGGCGTCTCACTTGGAGTTTGAGCACAACTCCAGCGAGCTGGCGAATTACTGTTGGAAGAGACACATTGGTGGTTAATTATTATATTAATAAATTATATAGTATATGAAAAATGTTTAAAAGTAGGTACTGAATGTTAATTGGAATAAAATAAATTGATAAAAATATGTTGTTAAATATTTTTTGAATTTAATTACCCAGGTTCCTCAGTTATAATTGGTTCAGTATAAGCAAGTGGGAACCAGCCTGCACTATGAGTGCGTAAATTTTCTCCATATTGCCATCCTTTAGTTCTGTCTCCGAGTAAAGCCAAAATATCTCCTTGTTGGAAGCTAAGTTGGTTATCTCCAGCAGCTGCATATGCGTATAAGGCCCTCGCCAATGGAGGATCTCGCGATGTACAAGATGGAGGCGCGAGAGATGATGGACGAGTTTTTGTACGAACGTCCGCATCTAAAAAAATAATAATAAATAAAATTAGCTAAATAAGTCTTAATGCGGCTTTCTCTACTAGAAAAAGGCAGAACTATACAATTTTATTAAATAAACATATAAGGTTAAGGAAAATCTATTAAGGCATGTAATCGTTACAAATGATACTACTAACGTAGGTAGGATTAAATATGCAGTACTCGACATTGTGTTCAACTCTAGGAGTAATACGAGTAAGGTCATACAAGGCTAAAGAATATTATAATATACTTCATTGAAGTATTATGACAAAGCTCACCTTGATCTGTATTATGGATACTCGCTTGTAAATTTAAATCAGATTTAGCTCTTGACAATCCATGAGTTGGCGATCCTAAGTCTGCAATAGACCTGACATCTAAGCAAGATGCATCAACAGATCTTGTTTTACGTAATGCTGATCCAACTGAAGCGCGATCATCGTCATCACCATTTCGTGGGCTTGCATATACATCTTCGTCTGCCCAAAATGATACTTGCTGAAAAGAAAATATCATATAGTAAAAGTTATAGTTTTATAAAGCCACCAGACTTATTTGACAACATATTTATAAATTACTTGTCGGTAGTTAAAATTACTTACCCTCATTCTACTAACAAACATAGCTTCTACGTTAGATGGCAGAAATTCTCTTGTACGTGAAACTTCCAACCATTCGTCCAAACCAGTGTTATAAGCTGTTGCACCGGCTGTGTGATAAGCCAGCCAGTGTTTAGCCAGCGAGCATTGACGCTCCAAAACGAATCCGTATCGACGGCGTTCTTGAGTCATTGCCTGTCAAACAGAAAATCCAATGTTTTAAAATAAAGACATTCTTATTAATAAATGTTCTTAAATAATTAGGATTTCAAGGAAATTATTTAATAATACTTACATTTTTCAAACTTTGTTCGCAAAACGCATCTAGTTTAGTTTTCTCCTCCTCCAAAATTTGCATACTCTGAAATGATTTGCAAAATGTTGAGAGCATAACAATCGAGATATATATTACCAACATAAACCAACCAATACGCTCTATATCCAATATCATCACGCCCCATGCCAAGAAATCAATTTATTTTTAATCTCAGTTCCAGAGAATCTTTGATGAGTTACGAAGTACAAGTAGGTACTTCAAAAGCGTTGTTTACGTGAAAGGCAACGTAAAGTTATGAGCCCAATTATTATCTATTCGGAGAGGTATTGTTACGAAAACAACCCTTAGAATTCTCCGAGAGGTCAATATAAACTCATCTTAGACAGCATTACTTTAGAATAGTTGCTGAATGTTTGACTTAATTGAAGCCAAATTTATATAAATAAAAATAAAAATAATTTAGATGTCATAGAATTTGTGTAGCTAGCAATAAATAAAAAACATCGAATATCAATAATATAGCGGTAAAGCTTACTACTTTTGTTTAAAAAGTATTATATTCATATTAAAAATAAAATTACTCGTAGTTTCTGGTAATTTTGGAGTATTCTCGTAAATATTATGTGTTCATATATCTTTAAAAATTATAACCTATGTGTTAGTCTGATGTTAAAGCTATATTTGCTTGAAAAGGTAACAAACATCTAGCCTCACAAACTTTCGCGTTTATAATATAAGTAGGATATTTACCTTCATCTCTTTATCCATAGCTGAGCCCACTTTTGTCATATTGGTTTTCTTCTTCCTTTGCTTTTTTATCGTAGCAGCTGCTTTACTATAGCTTTCTGAGCGTAGTTTATGCTGTTGCAAAAACCTCTTCTGCTCAGACTGCAAACAATCGATTTAAAATTATAACGAATATATGTCCATGAGTATGAGTCCATTCTACTAACCACATAAATGTTGGTACCTTACTAAATCACGAGTAATGGAACACGAATTTGCACAAATATTTAGCACACAATAAGACTACTTTTTTGTCGGTAATGAATTTCCATGGCGTAATAAGTTATATTTAGTTTTTTGTTCTATTCTACTAACTTATAAATGACGTTGTACAAAAACGTGGGAAGAAAAAAACATTTTTCACGCGGCCACGGGCATAGATAGATTTGACATATATCAATATTTCGTTGATATGGGCTAAAAATTATAAATTTTAAAACGCCTTTTAATAATACAGTAAAAGACAGCCGTGTTATAATTAAATTAATAATGCATAAATATCTATTACAGTGATATTAATTTAAATTAATCGTTCATTAACTATAAGAACTAACATTTATATGAATGCTTTAATACTATTTTTGCTCATAATGATAAAGATCAGCAGCCATATTATTATCAACGCTTGCATTGAATTTAACTCTGATATAATCATTACTCTTTACAGTCGTGGTACGTGGTAACAGTATCAATAAATTTAATTTATCTCTATATGCTTACATTTGATCTCAATAAATTTTTAAACTATCTTTATTCATAAATAGTAAGCAAATAAATAGATTTATCTATATTAATGTATTTATCCGTCTGTACAGTTCTTGCATTTGACTGAAAACTATCAAAGACGCTGAAGTTAGTAGCTTTAAATTTCTATTCTATCACGATTAATGAAAAGTGTACCTGGGCAAACGAGCTTTGCTCGGAATTTTTGGCCAAAAGTACAATTTCCTTTTTAATTTGGCTTAAAAACACAAAGAACTAAAAACTTTAATGGTAAAACTAATAGTAAAAGTGGTAATCTGGTTCTTCTTGACAAAAAAACAATAAGAGTCGATCTGGGACTCATATTCAGGACCCATTAACAGAAGTCATGCTTAGCCACTAGACCAATGAGGCAGTTCTTTCCAAAAAGTCCAAATTCTAAATTCCTACAGTATTAACTTACAATGTTATTCGTCGCAGATTTAAATATATATACCTGTACTACTTTCGTGTCTTTTTCCAGATTTGTCTCTAGAGGGACGAGTAAATCTACGTAGAACGCCTTCAGCTGTAAGAAACAAAAAGATTTAAGGTTATTAAACTCCGAATAACGATTGAAAAAGAGAAACTTTTATTATGTAAGTATATTATCTTCCTAATACGACTACACAATAATATGCTTAGTGAAGCGTCATATGTTTCATGTTTGGCTAGAAATTCTACAAAGCACCTATTACTGTACATGAAATGTATGATGTATATTCTTGCAAAATATCTTGGTAACATCTGAAGGGCAAAAGTGTGATTTTGATTTGTCCTTCATTCATGCAACGATTGATGTGATTTTATCCATACCGATACATAATGTAAATGGCATAAGATATTAGGATGAACAGTGGTCCTTATCCCGGTATTTTAAATGGCTACACACTTCAAAAGTCACATGACCTACAAAAGTATAAGTTAGTAATTATAATTATTGACAAAATATTACCGTAAAATTAATTTATTATATTTTTAATTTAAAGATATAATAGTATTCTTTAACATTTCAGTACTCACAATGTTCATTTGTTGATCTTGTATTTCGCGATACACCTCCACCACTTTCATAAGTGCAGTACCTGTAGAAATATATATACTAATATTATAAAAAGGTAAAATTTGTGAGTTTGTGACGTTGTAGGGGCTAATCTTTGGATCTACTGAACCGGTTTAGATGAAATTTGGTAAGAAGATAGTTTGAGACCCTGGGAAAGACATACGATGTCCGAAATTCGATTTCGAAATATCTTTAAAAGTAATTATTTTACTATTGAAAGAATATTTTCTCACAGAATAAAATAAATACCGGTTCATAAATGGCGAGGCAGTACTATATCATGTTTACATTTTTGGTACTCGTGTAACATATTTACAAAAAATAAAAACCCGAATTAGAGAGAATATCTGCTCCATTTTTAAATTGAAATACTGCCATGATATTTTCCCAGTAAAGGGCGAATTCGATAAAATGGTAAATAAAATATAAACCGTAATTGTTGTTATTATTCATCAAACAAATTTTTATATGAAATATTATATTTTTATATGAACTTAACAATGTTTGATTATTTTGGTTTAAATATTAAAAGAAAAAGGAATCTTTATCAAATTATTGTTTGACTCAACATATTATTATGAAGTTAAATGTACATGAATAGTAATAAAACTTATGTATTTATAAATAAATTTGATTTCAAGGCTTTTTATTTAATCTTATAATTTAACTTACAATGAGATTTTATGTTAATAATCATGAATAAGGAGGTTATTGACCCGAATTAATCACAGCACTTACATTATTACTTCTAAAAATTGATATTTGAAGATTGTTGTTATAACAAACCTTGAACGGTGAATAAACATTTTTTACATTATATAAAATTCATATAACATCGTGGTCTAAGAGCGTATATCTATACTGAGTAATTTAAAGGTAAAATTAGAAAATTAGTTTTATATATCAGCAAGTTATATGTTTCTTATAGCTTGAGCCGAATTTCGATATGTCTTTTTATCTCAGAAAAGCAGTTTAGGTACCCCGAGGTTAGGACGAGACTGGTTTCACAAAATATTAACACCACAAACTCTACTGTGCATATGTTAAGATTTAGTATGATTGTACTTATATTTCCTGTGAGAGAGAACATAAAATATTATAAAATAAGATTTTTCTTAAGTAGATAGGTAGATAAACTATTCGTAAGACTGCACCTCTCAGTTTAAAACTTTTAAAACTGTTTCATATAGGAACACAAAATAATTTAAGAATAAAAAGTATCCGCAGGCACCCGCTGTAACTTCTTCTTTTACTTCAAACTTAAACTTAGAGTATACTTTACTTTATTCAAATACACTTTTACAAGCACTTTTGAATGATCGATTAAACTTTTTAAGTAAAAGTTAGCCGTCAGTCTATTTAAAAGCTTCTAGCGGAAACCTAGATAAAGAGGAAGTATTGCCTAAATTTATTTATTTATTTACACTTAATTTGGATTAGCAGATAAAAACATAAACGTATGTATATAATATAACTTTTGACAAATTTTAACTTTATTTTTCTGCTTATTATAAATCACAAATATACGATTAAATTTAGAATATGCGATTCTGATTATATATGTATACATATATACATATATTTTGGTTATATTTTAAATTACCTATTGAGTCAATTAGTCAAAAGGAAAAAATAAACATATTAAACTGAAATATATTAATAAATACTAGGCAGAGGTTGGCGTTTTATTCGTTGGAATATTATTTGCTGAGTCGAAGTTTTATTTAATGATATCGCAACCTCAAGGTTAGCCTTAAGAATTGTTTTCATACATTCAAATTTAAACCTTATGCAATAAAGATACAATGACGAATGTAATATACTTTTTTAATATATAAAATAACAATTAAATTTTAAAGACAATGCAATAACAGTCGAATACTGAGTAGAAGTTTATTAACTAGGGACAAACATAACGCGTATGGCCAAAATAAACAAATGCCACGTGCGGAAATCAAAATTGTAACTTTTAGCGTAGGAAACAGTTAATGGTATACTATGTCTAATTTTGTATCGGCCCTAATACTTTATTAGATTTACGCGAATATTTGACATTTTAAATAAAACTATCTTTTCGGATTTTTTCGCGAATTTATTTCGATTTTTGGTTCCCGACGTTTGTATCGACCCATTAAATTTTCTTATCACTTTGACCGATGATAAGGTTCGTTTTTCGCCCATAATTTAACTATTTATTTTAGGCAGTGGTAGCCTTATAGTAACGCGATTACTTGGGAAATCAATTGAGGGGGGCTTAAATCTAGGGTATCGCACCTCTAATATAGAAACCTGCATCTGAATAACATAGCAAGTTTTTAAAAGACACGTGAAGTTCGCCAACCCGTACTAGGCCAGCGTAGTGGAGTATGGCCTGATCCTCTTCACATTAAACGGAGGCCCGTGTCCAGCAGTGGGACGTTAAAAAGCACTTGAACACAACACTTTAGAGTGGGAATGCAGATTTCTTACTTACAACTAAAAGCGGACATGATTAAATATACTAAATATTTATTAAGAGTACAAATCAATCCTAGTAATCGTTATCTAATTATCAATCTTAATGCTAATTAAACAATTAATTAACTGTTACCGATATCGGCGCATCCTCCCCATGTGCCTTGCTGCGCTTGTCGTCCGAGCTTGCCCACCGCGTCTACGTATAGCCTGGACGCCGCCGCCGCACCTGATACGAAATTGAATTGTAATCGATGCTTAATAGATATGCTGTGTACTGCGTAGAGATATGAAGCAAGATTAGGATCATTCAACAATCATATATTCTGCAAACCATATCTTAACCGTGAATTGTAAATTAAACAAAGTATGCGAATAATATATTTTGACACGTGTCGTGATATTTATATTTCATTTCACAATTTTTACTTATTTCTGTGAAAAATACTTTTAATATAAAATGCTATTATATCTAACTTGAAACAATGAGCTTCATCATCACATATATGTTTACAGGCAACAGTAACAAGTATGCTTTTGTAATATTCCTTTTAATGAAAACCATATATTGGCTTCTCATAAAGTTCAGAATGAAAAGGAGAAATAAAATTGCCAATTTAATCTTAGACATAAAGCGATCTGTCCACTTTAATAACAAATACTTAAATAAAAATAACTTTTAATTTGTCAGCCTTTTAAAATGTCAATACACTAGAATGCACTCTTGAGAAGTGGCGTAAAAGCAAGTATCAAGATTAATACATCGTGGTACACAATGGCAGAGTTTATTGCGTCTAGCGTCGAGTATATTACACTAGATAAGCCAACAGAGACAATTTGGCACCAACTACGCCCTAGTTCCGTAGCCAAACAAGCGCAACTGAGGTTTTGCATATAGATGCATCCATTTGGCTTATGGTTTATAAATTAATTGTCTGCCTTTTACTGAATAGACATCATCTTGAATTAATTTAACAGTGTCAGTTCATACCTGCTTAGTCTATCTGTTTATATATTTTATTGTGATTTTTTCATAGGATAAGTCGTGTATATGTACATATATTTTGTAATAATATGTATTTGTGAAATAATAACAAAGAAGAGTGTAATGGTTTTTTAAACTCTATATTATTGTATATCATATTACTAACGAAAACTGTTTCGGAAAATAAATTATATTGCTATGTTTTCAATACAAACATAATAATTTAGTCAATAAAACAAAATATTTTTGTATCTTACCATGTAAAGCTTTCAAATAGGCTTTACCAGCTGTTATCATCTGACGAGCGCCGGGGTTAAACTTGTCCAGGATGTTCTGAAACAATGAAAAAATATTTGTTACAAAAACATACAATATTTGACACTTAAATATATATTTTATTATCTTCTACCTATGTTTAAAACATCTGTGAGATAAATAGATTAATTACAGTAATTAAAATTGTTTGTTTATAAATAACGATTACTTTTAACAATTCCAGGTAAATTTCGAAGAAATTAATTAAAATTCTAAGAAATCTATTGTTAACTGACACGCCGGCGTGTCCACGGTCGTGGAGGGATAATTATTGATTTTAATTTCATGTGATGACATGGGAGTTAAAATCAATATTATTTACCAATTGTAATACTTATAGTTAAGGTCGGTACATGAGTTCGTTTCCTTTCAGGAGTATTGGTATCGATCAAGGAAATGATTGCCCAAATCCGGTAGAGATAAAAGGCGGCCACAGTTTATGTGCCCCGTAAGTGCGTGAAGTTATTTATAATGCCTGAATATATTATGTGTGTCGCGTGATGATTTTAAGATAGTAGTAATTCTTAGACCAAATATGTAGAAAGTAATAGAAAAACACTTGATTGTATAGTTAAGTTCCGTGTTATGTATAATTTAAAAGTATTAAATAATTTTAAGTTTATTTTATTAAACAATTTAAATAGATTTAATTTACTAAATGAAAAATAATTAATTAAAATGTAGTTAATTTATATAGATAGCACGAGCACGATCTACGAGAACGTTACTCTAGTAAGTCAATGTACGAGTATATTACATTCTAATCGCTGTATGTTCCGAACATATGTATTTCTTTATTTTAACACTAGCAATGCCCGCGGCTCCGCCCGCGTTCAGATGACCAAAAACCTAATTCTTAGGTTTTACATATTAGTATACTCTTACATTGCAGTTTTTGTATTTTTTCTCAGAAATGAGATATTTTCCCGCGGTGAAAAGTATCCTATATGTTGACCCGGATAACCAGCTATCACCATACCAAATTTCATGAAAATCCCACCAGTGGTTTTCTCGTGATGCGGTAACAGACAGACAGACAAAAATTCTAAAAACTATAGATTCGGTCTCTGTATCGATAATAATGTTTGTTTCAATTAGATTTTCCAAAAAATATTTAATGTACAGATTCGACTTAGTTACAATTTTATTATATGTATAGATTAGGTTAAGACCAAAGCTACCAATTAGGTTCAAAAATGGACCACTAATAATTAGGCAGACCACTTTTTCGTTTACACTTTAATTTGCAATCTCGAAGAAAATGAGGGCTTAAACCGTAAATAGTCGTATCGGAATGTGGCCTTTCAAGGATGCTGCAACCTCGTTAGGTGCGGCAACTGCCGGCATCGGCATTCCATTGTAAATATTGCTCAAAGCCACTTCTTCGTAAACCTACTTACCTGAAAAGGATGCAAATTCCTCTACTAGATTAAGTCATCTGAATAATAAATGTTACGCTCAAGAATTTGCTAGAAAAAGTAAAATGTGGCCTGAATGAATATTTTTTTTTATCTTTACATAATAATTATACTATTTACTGTTAGTAATACATATATTAATAGCTATACTTTGTTTTATTACGAGTATCGCAGAGTTTCACTTTTTTGTACTGTTTAAGTGTTTTTATCAACAGGGAATGCAGCATGCGACCTTTGTACCTGAGTTTGTATTTGTATGTAAGTGTGTTTGTTACTCCTTCAGGCTGAAACCGCTGGACGGATTTAGTACATAGTTAGATGACCTGAAGTAATATATAGCTAGTGTAGTATTTGTGATAAAATGTGCCAAAGGTGGCGCTGTCTATATATCCATACACATATAAAAATTGGACCTAAGCCGAATCTGTAGATTAAATATTTCTTGGAAAATCTTATTGAAATAGACATTATTTTCGATACAGAGGCTGAATCTTTAATTTTTAAGATTTTTTTATCTGTCTGCCTGTGACCGCATTACGGAAAAACCACTACAAGGATTTTGATAAAATTTGGTATGATGATAGCTGGTTATCCGGGTCAACATATAGGATACTTTTTACTGGGGAAACATACCTCATCTTTGAGAAATCTATACTAACCAGTAAAACGTAAACAAAAACGATACACGAGCTAAGCTAGAATAAGTCACTGGTAAATAACAATAATAATCAAACACTTTCGAATATTTTCGCTTTCAAACATATTAAATAATAATAGTTATGATGACATTAGGGCTCGACTAGGCCTATGAGGAGAAACGGTAAGTAAAGACAGGTGCCATCGTAATCTGCAGATTATGGAACATTACAAACAGCCAATGCGTATTCCCTTTTAACCGAATACCAGGGGCTGGGAAAGCAACTACGTGCTAATGTGTTTTACGATGTCGTGACTCCTAATGCCTGCCCTCACATTTGTACTGACGATTTCTGACAGTAATTCCACCATATCTACCCATTACGGATTGTTTACAAACAAAGATTTAAACTTTTATACTAAACTAGCATTGCCCGCGACTATGCCCGCGTTCAGATGACCAAAAACCAAATTCTTAGTTTTACATATTAGTACTCGTATACTCTTACAATGTAGTTTTTGTATTTTTTCTAAGCAATGAGATATTTTCCGGGGTAAAAAGTATCCTATATGTTGACTCGGATAACCAGCTATCATCATACCAAATTTCATCAAAATCTGTCCAGTGGTTTTCTCCTGATGCGGTAACAGACAGACAGACAGACAAAAATTCTAAAAACTATAGATTCGGACTCTGTATCGATATTAAAGTCTATATCAATTAGATTTTCCAAAAAATATTTAATGTACAGATTCGACTTAGTTACAATTTTATTATATGTATAGATAAAACTTTGTGTAGTATTTTCACTATTTAAACTGTATATTTTTAAAGTGGTAGCGTAAGCAGTAATTTTACTGTCATTGACTTCTTTTTGTTCTTAAACCACAATACTGAGCTTGGATATTGATAAATGCTTTTTTCTTTCAAATTTTTGTGTTTTCAAAACTCTATTACTTACAAATATTTTCCCTAACATCGTTTCTTTGAAATCTTATTAGTTTCGACAATATATTAACATTATAGATAATGAAGAGTGCCTTGATATATTATCTATACATATGTATAATATAATAAAATTCTGAATCGAATCTGTACATTAAATATTTTTTAGAAATTCTTATTGAAATTGTTATTATTATCGATAAGAGGCCAAATTTATAGTTTTTAGAATTTTTGTCTGTCTGTCTGTTTATCTGGGAACGCATCAAGAGAAAACTATTGATTTTGAAAAGAAATTTGGTATGATGTTAGCTGGTTATCCGGGCCAACATACAGGATAACTTTCGCTGCGGGAAAATATCTCATCTCTGAGAAACATATACTAAACATTAAAACGTAACTAGGGACGAACCCGAGCAAAGCTATAGTGAGTCGCTAATAGAGAAATATATCTACGATTGAAAGACGTTTTTCAAACAAAGGCATTGAATTGTCTTACATAACCTTATAGAGAACCATGTGAGGCTTTACTTTTCATGGTTATCCTTCATATTCACATTCACTAGTCCAATTTTCGACAGTGACAGTAATGTATGGCTTCTCGGTGTGGGCGGGTAGAAAGCAATATTTCAGAGGAATCAGGCGTACATTTTAAAATACCAATATCCACTGGCTCTTAAACTTTTTCAGCTTTCGAAATTTAATTTTAAGTTGTCTCATCACTCTAAGTCGTTATTAAGAAAAAGTTTGTAAGTTTTTTTCTAACTATTCAAATATAAATACACTATTTACAGTTATGGTATATACTAATTATAGTAATATAGGAATACAAAAATTATTTTTAAATAGTTATCAGACTTTGAATAATTATAACTTGTTTTACAATAATACTTATTATAATATTCTTGATCTGTGTACTTTTTAAGATTCACTGTACCTATTATAGAGAGTTGTGTACTCAATATCTCAAACATAAAAAATAAAACAACAAAAAATCGGTCAAGTGCGAGTCTAATTCGCACCACTTTCGCATTACTTTTTATTAATGTGGCTTTTACTGTACGTATGTAGTGTATTGACTTCGATAATCGATTACGAAAGTTAAAAAAATGTTTCTTGTATTTTTATTATTTTTTCTTATAGCAACAATAGAAATGCATACTCTGTAAAAATTTCAACTCTCAATCTATCACGGTTCATGACGACGGACGGACAGATAGCAGAGGCTTAATATAATAGGGTTCCGTTGGCACCCTTCAGATACAGAACCCTAAAAAGTAAATATAAAAATTATGTTTAATAATAAAAAACCTAAGTTCTATTCAACTTCTATCAATATGTAATGTAGTAGGTAAACAAAATATATATTATACGTTTATGGGTAAACTTTTGAAATGTTTCTAGATATCTAAAATCAATGAAAAACCAAGCAAAGCTTTTGACAAAAGAAAGCAGTTTGAAATAACAAATTCGTTTTCCTTTTGCATACACAATATAAGATACGAGGCATTGTGAACTAACAGCTTCTAAAGTAATACAGGCGGCTTTATTCTATCCTCTTTATTTGTGGGGCACGTAGCAAACGACATTTGGTACCAAATTGCCTCGGGTAGACTTCGTGACGGGACCCTTTTCAACCATGTCTCTGCCTAATGTCTTAGGCACACGTCCTATATTTTTTGTATAAGTTCGTCGTATGTAATAAAATTCATATCTAGTTCTTATCTAGCCATTTTTTTAATATTAAGATAAGCATCTTGAATTCGTACCTCGTCAGTGTTATTTTAAAATTAATATAGTTGTACGACTATATAAAGTTTATTTACATTTATATATTATATCAAAGTATTATATAATATTGACGACACGTTTGGTTCAGTTTGTAGTGACCCTACTTGCTGTGCCAGCGGTCGCGGGTTCGAGTCCCGCTGGGGGCATTCATTCATTTGTGTGATGAGCACGAATGTTTGTACTCCAGTCATGGGTGTTTATATTTATAATATGTATGTATTTAAAGTTGA